TTTTTCATATTGAGTTGTGGTGCAGTGGTGCGAATCAACTCAAAACAGCTAAAAATTCAGCAGTTATTCCCCAACAATTACAAACTAAGCTCTGCCCAAGGCTTCCAGAAAGAGCAGACAAAACGGTTCTAACTTAAACATCCACTAAGTGGTGGCAATGAAACCAGGAACCAGTATGAAACTTTGGAATGCAAGGTTTTTTTTTTTCCAGACATATATAACTTTGTTAAAAAACAAAAAACACCTATGGAGCTGAGGTCTACTATCAAGGCATATTCTTGGCAGAATATTGGATTCTAAAAGCTTATAGGTTTAGCAAGGTGTTGGTTGGCTTGTTTGTTTACACTGGTCTGAGACAATTAGGAACCTCTCTCAAGATAAGAGTCCCCACATCTGGACTGTAACTAATGCTTTGCAAGTGAAGATATGGAATGGTGGTTGGTAGCTGCTGGTGCCGGGTTGATTTTTCCTAAAGTCCCAAACTCATCGGAGACCCAAAAAAGTTTGTGTTTGGTTTTTGTTCTATTCGCATCACAACTGCTCTGTTGTGAATATTTTGTTCAATACAAAAAGTTCGTAGGCTTTTTTTCGCTCAACAAGAATGAAACTTCGTAATAATAAAAATAATAATAAAAAACAAAACAAAACAAAACAAGAGGAAACCGAAAGGGGAGGGTGGGGGCCCCTCCCGGCACACAAGTTCGAGTCCAAGTGCTCGGTGCGGCCTGCAGTCTGCTTGTGGCCGAGGTCAGCCCCCCACACTCCCGAGCCTCCCTGCCCCTAGCAGGGGCGCGACTGCAGGGGCGCCCTCCAACACCCCCAGAACGACCTTCCCTTCCTCCTCCTCACTAGCGCCCTCTTGCCTCAGTCGTCGGAGATGGAGAGGCGGCTGAAGATTGGCAGGCGGCGGCCGGGGTCGAGGCTGGGGGACTCAGAGCCGCTGAGGCTGCCCGAGCTCAGGGAGCCGCTCAAGTAGCTGTCGCGGTCAGACAGTGAGTCCGGGGGACTAGGGGGCGCGTCGAACACGGGCGACTCGGACAGGCGGCGTGGCAGCTGGAAGCTGAAGGGCGGCGAGGGCGGCGCGGCGGCGCTGGCAGGGAGGGGCGCGCTGGGCGGCGCCGGCGGCTGCGCGGGGGGCACTAGGCCCTGCTGCTGCTGCTGCTGGCTGCGATAGTAGGCGGCGGCGGCCACGGCGGCGAAGTTGTGGGTCTGGATGGCGAGAGGTGTGATGAGGCTGCTCAGCTCCGGGCCGAAGGCGAAGGCGTTGTTGGCGCACGAGGCCGAAGAGCAGGTGGCGCAGGGCGCGCCCGGCGCGAGCAGGTCCTCGGCGCCCCCGGTGCCGTACAGCAGCGCGGCCGCGGCCGCTGCCGCCGCAGAGGCACAGCACGTCGGGGCGCCCGAGGGCGTGGAGGCAGCCGAGGCCGAGGAGCAAGACGAAGCGGACGAGGAGCAAGACGAAGCCGAGGAGCAGGAGGGTGGCGGCGGCGTGCGCGACGTGGGGCTGTCGAGCAGCAGGGGCGACTCCAGGCCCCCCGGGGGCTGGTGGTGGCCCGACGGGAAGCCCGAGAAGCTGAGGCTGTGGTGCAGCTTGGGCCGCGGCTCCCGCGGGAAGCCCAGGTGCAGCGCGTCGCGGGCGCTGAAGGTGCGCAGGTCCCCAGAGGCACCCCCCGACGGCGCGGGCCGCCGCTCATCGGCGTTGTGGATGAAGTGGCAGCGCGGCCCATAGGGGCAGAAGCCGATGGTGTGGAAGGTGCGGCACAGCTCCGTCTTGTACTTGGGGTGCCGCGTCAGGCTGCGCAGCTCGTGGAAGCCATGCGCGAACTGGCACTTTTCGCCGTACTTGCACGTGCCGCTCTCCTCGAAAGGCCGGCACAGCTCAGTTTTGTAGCGCGTTGAGTTGATCTGGGAGCCGCCTCCCCCCTTCTGCTGCTGCTGCAGGTGGAGGAGGTGCTGGCTGCGCTCGCCGTTGTCGCTGAACGAGCGGTCCCGGAATTTGTTCTCCTTGTTCAGCAGGGCCGTGCCGCCGCCCCCCGACGGCTCCTTGAGGGTGCCGTAGGAGGCCGGCCCGCCCGCCGCCGCGCTGCCGCAGCTGCTGCCGTTAGCTGCGCCCGGGAACTTGGGCGAGCAGCTGCCGGGGCTAGGCGCAGGGTGGGCGAGCGCGTGCAGGTTGCTGGCTGAGTGCCGACGGAGGAAGCCCGGCGTGAAGCCCGAGCTGGGGGCGGCGGCCACGGGTGTCCCCACCGCCTTCTTGTCCAGCATGTTGTTCAGATTGAGGTTGGCCAGGGACTTCTCCGTCTGCCAAAAAGGAGGGTAGCGGGGAAGGGATGAAAAGTGGGAAAAGGAAGAGGAGAGGGATGCGTTGGGGTGAGCTGCAGAAGAACCACTTCCAGCCCTCCAATTCTTTTTCTTTTTTTTTTCGGATCTCGACTCGGCCCCCAACCTCCACCCTTACACGCGCACAAAAATCAAGTTTGCGTTGGGAGGAGCCGGACTCCCCACCCTAGGCCGCGCTGGGTTGCGACATGTGATCCTCAGTCGTGGGCCGCCGGCGTGGGCGGCGCAAACCCCGTCCGGGAAGCCCCGGGCAAGCGTGGCTGTGGTCGGCTGCGGAGAAACTAAACAGCTACAGCGACTCCCTCCTGCCCTTCCTCCCCGCTGCTTCTCCCCGTCCACAAGGTTCGAGCACACATTGCAAACTCCGGCATTTTTCCCAAACCCAAAAAGTCAAGGAGGGAAGAGGACCCCCAAAGCCGAGGACAGAAGGCCAAGCCTGAAAACTCCAAGGGCTTCCTCCTTGCCCGTCCTCTTCCCTCCCTGCTCCTGCGCGTACCTTGCACAAGAAGTCGATATCGTAGAAGGCGGACAGAAGTGTGGTCGACATGTTTCTGGATCCTGTAATGGTCGGAGCTGCAGGCTGGGAGGTCCGGAGGAGCCCTCGGGGCGGCGCGGCCGGGCTTGAGCCACGACGAATAACGGGCGAGGGGCGGGGGAGGGACCGAAAGTTTGCGGGGGGCCAGAAAAGAGGGAGCGGGGGCAGCAGCTTGAACTGGTTTGAGGGTGCCCGGGAGTGCAGAGTGGGGGGAGAGGAGAGTGAAGCTAGAGCGCTCCTCCGCGCCCCGGGGTGCCCGGCCCGCCCCCCCCGCGCGGAGCCGACTGCAGCTCGCGGACTGTTGGAACTCAGCCGCCTGAGAGCGCGCGCCTTATATAGAGCCCCGGAGCGCGGCAGCGGCGGGGCGGGCCTGCCGCGGGGAGGGGACAGAAGGCTGACCCCGCCGGGGTCTCCAGGCAACGCCGCCCGCCGGCTTGCGGACGTCAGGCGCCTTCCTGGCCTCCCATTGGCCGCCGCCAATTTTTTCCTCTGGGGGAGGGGGCGGAGAGGCCTCGGGGCGGGGCTGGCCGGTGGGGCGCCCGGGGCGGCGTGGAGGGCTCGGCCCAGATGGGTGCTGCTGGGTGGCGGCGGGAAGGTACGGCTCCACTCCTTTGGGGCTGTACTGTTGGAAATCCCCAGCACATTTAACGTGGCCGGGTTTCTGCAGCCCTGGACGTGTCTTTCCCCGCCCGGTCCTGCTAGGCGAAATTGCGGAGCTTTTATCTCCCACCCTCGGTTTTATACTGGGCGCGGGAATTGCAAAATGCAAGAATATTGCAACCGTCCGCGCGGCCCGGCTGTTTTTGCTAAGGAAGCTCCGGCCGGGGGGCGGGGACTCTGGGCCCGAGTCTGACCGGTAGTGGCTCCATCCCGACTGCACGTGGAGACGTGGTGGGGGTGGGGGCCGGAGCGGCCACGCGGGCGGCTGCCAGGGCAGGCAGTCTCGCCCGGAGGAGCCTGGGCCGGTTCCTCCGCCCCTCTTCCCGCCCAGCCTGCAGTAAACAGGGCTTGAGCGCCGAGCCCTGCCGGGCAGGGCTGAGTGTCTGAGGACAAGGCGCTGGCTTTGCTAATCACATCACAAGACCTTGAGCCAGGGCCAAAGGCGCGGAGTGGCGCGGGGCGTCCCGGGCGGGGGAGCCGGCTGGGAGGACGGGAGGAAAGGCCAGGAGAGCCGCGCAGGCATGGAGGCACTTCCCAAGGCCTCGTCCGTCTGCTGGTCTGTCCGGCTTTCCCCTGCCCTCCTGGGGGTTGTGGTACAGCTGCCAGCCGAGGCTCCTGCCCGCCCGCCGCAGCCTTGGCCTGGCGCGCCCTCCTAGCCCCTTAACTCCCGGGCCGTTGAGGGCGCCGCGCCCCGCCTTAACTCGTTGTGGGCTGCGGGCTCCGGCTGAGGCCGACCCGCAGCCAGGCTGGGCTAGGCACCGAGGATGCGCCTGGTGGGCTCGCCCCCGTTTCCTTCTCTTGCCAGCCCCACACCCCAAAAGCCCGCGTTGGGAAATGCTCTTTGCCAACGGCGCCCTCCGGGTACGGGGCAGACACCCGCCCCTAGCGCCCAGTGCAGCTAAGGCCACTGTCAGCCCCACTGGGGCAGATCTGGAGTCCGGTCCAGGACACTTCTCACTCCGCGTCTACGGATATGCTGCCAAAAAAGCTGGAGCGGGGCCCATGATTTCGCACACCTGGCAGCCTAGGCTGTAATTGGGCCTAAGTTGGAAGGTCCAGTACCCGCCAGGGAAAGAAGCTCCCGAGACCCACGCCCCCTTGCCCAGTTGATCTTGTTTCTGGCTGTTTCCTTGTGCTTACTTCCATTCGGCGGCGCTCATTCCCTCTCTCAAGTTACCCTGGGAGGGAATGAGCCGGGCCTGTCGCTCAGGAAACCTACTCTTTAGAGTTCAGCTTGCACGCAGAGCCCATTGCTGCACTCCTCACCCACCCAGAGAGCTAGAGTCAGCATAGGGCTGCAAGGACTTCAGGATCAGAAACATAGGGCTGGAGTTCAGGCCCTGTCCCTTATAAGCCATGTGATTTCAGGCAAATCACAAAATCACTTTGGCACCTGGGTTTCTTTGTAAAACTAAGATAATTCCTGCTTTACTCATCTCTCACCTTTGTCAAGGTGCAAATGAGTTATCTGTTAAGGTTTTTAAAAGATAAGTATACTCCATCTTATTTATTAAAACAAACTGACAAAGCATAAAAATGGAGAAAGCCAGGCCTCTGGAGTATGGCCAGATGGGTGGAGGTCTACAGAATCGTGAATGCAGAGCTGAGGGGTCACCAAATCTTGGACCCTCGAGTTTGGAGCCAAGGGCAGTGACCTCAGAAGAAGTGACTGCTTCACTTTTGCCACCCGGCCTATACTGGCCCCTAGACAAGGCTGGGCAACCATGGCTGACACTTACAGCCTAGAATACCCAAGAACCCTGATGCTGTTTCGTTCTTTGTTGAAATGAACCACAGCACAAGAGTCTGAGGATGGCCCTGACAGTGGGGTATTATGAGTTTCCCATGGGAATGCATCAGGAAAGTGTGAAACAGCAATTTCCCTCACCAGTGCTATTGGAGGTCAGTGACAAGATTTCAGATACAAAAACCAGTGGAAACATCTGTCTCTCCTGTGCTCTCAGGCTGGCTACAACCAGCCAAGATCAAAATCTGGGGTAATTCTCAACAGCTATGAGAACACCCACTTTGCAGGCTTGGTAGAAGGACTTTGGAGCTAACATGTAAACATGCTATGGTACATGCTTTGGTACAGAGTACCTGCTGGTAGAAAATATTTTTATTATTATGTAACTGCTTTTATTTCATTTTAAATGGAGAAAAAAGGAATGCTGGCCTTTTCCAGTGAGCTGGGCTTTGCTGGAGCTGGTTTCATAATTACTCTACCATGGTTATCACCACATTGTGCCAATTCCCTGACTTCTCACCAGCCACGTCTTCTCAGAACAAAAAGAAATGTTCAGTTGGCAACTTTCCATCAAGTGTGGGCTACACAGATGCCTAACCAGGTTATTAATTCAGGATCACAGAAAACACATTTCGAGCTGAGTAGTGCAAAACCACCAGGGAATTTCCTGTCTCTTTAGGGCAAAACTTTGGACACTAAGTTAACTTCTTTCCTTGCTTCTTCCTACACAGACCTTTCTCTATTCTTCTAGTAGGGTCTATTTTTTAGTGTTAGGTGGTTTTCTTTCAAAGAGAAACAAATTATATTTGAAATATAAGTCTTTCTGTAGTAGGAAATGATCATATCAAACCCTCTCCCGTCTAAACTGCCCCTCCAGACCCTCAAACATCAATAAAATAATTCTGATTGCTCACCTGAGAAGTATTTAAATGTATTTACAGACCCTAAGAAGCTGGGCCAAGTGTACATAGCATTACTGAAATGGTTCTTTCAGATAACTAGGATGAAAAATGAATGTGGATGAGGCTATGACCCATCCAAGCTATGAATTTCAAGATAACTGTCTTTGGGTAACACTTAACTCTGAAATTATAAATTAAAACTGGTAAACCAGTGGAAAACAAAACTAGCAGCAAAACGTATGCAAGGGCGACACCTGCTGGGTGTCTGAGAAAGAGGGGAGGGCTGGACTTAGAAAAGCAGAAAACCCTTAAGGTTTCCAGGTTAAATCACTGAAATGGATAGAAGTTTTCTGGCATCTTAAATAAGAATCTTCTTGTTACTGCCACCAAGAAAATGACAGTAAACAGTGTAGGCATCAAATAAGTCATTTATTCTGACTCTCCTTTCCCCAGGTTCCTTCTAACAGCCAAGAGTCTATGATTTCACTGGGTGGTGAATCTGTTTTCCTAACAATAGCACAGATACTTTTTATGGTGGGCAGAGGGGGGTAGGAGCTCTTAATGGCTCTTTTAATAATTAGGATGGCATGTGTAGGTCACTGAAGGCTTAAACATGCAGACAGTAAAAACAAAATTATTTGTATGAAGTCGATCCTTAATTCTCCCAGGATTCAACATTTGGAACATATTTCTGCCTTTGCTAAAATCGAATAAAATTTGGAATTCTGACCAAGTGGGCTGTTTGCCAACTAATCCAGCTCCCACAACTAGCCAGAAAAGGGAGGGAAAATCATGTGTTAAAACCCAACTCTGTGTAGTCAATTCAGAGAAAAATGTATGCCGGCTCTGGTTGGACACTGGAGGTCCTGGGGGATGAAAAAGGCTAATTCAGGCCTGCAGGTGGCCTGCACCTGGGAACAGAGTCAATATTCAACGTGGTAGCCTCACGTCCTACAGTAGCTGCAATAAACGAGGCTGCCTTGAATGACTGAACTGAAGAAAAAGTCCTCTGTAGGACAGAAGGCTAGACTCACAGAAGTGGGGGAGTTGTGAAGGGGAGAAGACGCTTAAGTTTCTGTTCAACATTTTCCTGCAGGTTGACTGGGGGAACAATCCACCCTACCCCCAACCCCACAAGTCTTCTTTCTTCAACAAGCCGTTTCTGTTCTTGGAAGAGTTAACTGATTCACTGCTGCAGGAGAGTCCAAAGCCCTGAGAACTGGGGTGTCTTCCCCTTCCTTTCCTTCCAGAAACGCCAGTAACCTCAGGCAAGCCAAAGCCCTTTCCTCCCGAATGCGCAGTCTTGTGAACTCCACCGTCTTCAAAAACTCAGCAGTTGGTGGCAGCTCTCTGAAGAGCTGGGAAAGGAGGTGGCATTGCTCTGACGCTGTCCTCTGAAGATGACAGAGCCTCTCGGGGCTGAGGGGACGCCAGCTGGACTTGGAGAGGAGGCGGAAGAGGTGCTTGTAGAGGTATTTCATGAAGATCAGGGTCTCAGCCCAAAAGTTGACTTCTGTTTTTTCAAACAGGTAGTCTTCCACCTAAGTCCGATGAAAAAGCCAAAAGTCAACCTTACAGGGGATGCTGACTGGCCCCAGTCCAGAGCAGAGTCCTGGCAGATGCAGAAGCAGTGTGTCCCCTCCCCACCTGACAGAGGGCTCACTCTCGCCTGTCAACACCCCTGTACACACAGCACTTGCACCCTTGAAGGTCACCTTCTATCTTCACTCGTACTTCTCCACTGGAGAGAAATTTTTTTCCCCCAGACTTAACATGACCTTTGATAAAGATGTGTTTGTGGTTCTCAGCCAAGATATTTTGGGGGCTTGGTGCTGAAAAGGGGACCTCAACACAGGAGGGGGCCCTAGACCTGAAGGTGCATCTAGAAATCAGAGAGGAGGGAGGAAGGGAGATCTGAGCAGCAAAGAGCAAAGAATTGACAAACATGAGACACCAGTCTCTCAGTATGAAACCAAATTTCTATAATGCTGGGGATTTTCAAGGTCATTTTATCACAGACACTTTATCTTGTCTCCTAATTTCCCATAAACAGGCTGCTTTTTGAACTCTTGGCCTGCCGGGGATGCCAAGAAGGCCAGCTGAGTCAGACAATGGCAGAGAGGAATTTCAGTTCTCAAGACGCTTTTACTGCTTATCTGGGTCCTCAGTTTCCCTATCTGTTGACTGACCCCCACCTGGAGGGGCTCATAGTTTTCTTCAAGCAGCAGAGACCCTGGAAGGACCCTGATTCTCTGGAAATGTTTCACCTTCAAACCTAACCATGGGGAGCCCGTGGTCACTCCAATGTTGACGAATAAGCATCCTCCATAGTTAAACTCTCAACTTCCAAGGGGCCTCTTAAAAGGGGCTTACCGTTGGAACTCCACAGGCCAGCACGAGAGCTGCCCCAGCAGCACCCGCGGGCTGCTGGGGCCATTTGGAGACTCCCTAATTGCTTGCCGCTCTGTAATCTGAGCACCCAGAAGCATGCTTTCAGCAGGCACATCAGGCCCATGTAAGCCTGGAAGTGCTGCACCCGGTGGGTGTAGGATCACTCCCACCCGCCTCCACTGCCCGGACACCCCAGGATTACCTGATGCACGCTCTCCACACAGGCCGTGAGGTCATCGCCCTCCCCCAACAGCCATCCTAGCAGGACTGGGAGTCCAGGGGCCAGCTGGTCCCACTGCTGGAGCAGGTCACACAGCACAGCCAGGGCCAGATCCAGTGCGATGGAGGCGTCCACCCGGCAGAAGGCAAATTCTGTGGAAATGAGAGAGGTGAACCATGAATGTGCTGCTCAGGGCCAACTGGGGAGGCTGTGCAGGACTCCAGGAACGTTAAAGGCTTCAGGTAAAATCACTGCCAGGGACTTCCCTGGTGGCACAGTGGTTAAGGATCTGCCTGCCAATGCAGCGGGCACGGGTTCGAGCCCTGGTCCAGAAAGATCCTACATGCCACGGAGCAACTAAGCCCGTGCGTGACAACTACTGAGCCTGTGCTCTAGAGCCTGCGAGCCACAACTACTGAGCCTGCGTGCTACAACTGCTGAAGCCCATGCACCTAGAGCCCGTGCTGAGCAACAAAGAGAAGCCACCACAGCCATTAATAAATAAATAAATAAATAAATAAATAAATGAAAATTAATTAATTAACTAAAAAAAACCCCCAAAGAATCTGCCTTACCAATGCATGGGATACGGGCTTGATCCCTGGTCCGGAAAGGTCCCACATGCCATGGAGCAACTAAGCTTGTGCGCCGCAACTACTGAGCCTGTGCTCTAGAGCCCGGGAGCCACAACTACTGAGCCTGTGCGCCACAACTACTGATGCCTGCACGCCCTAGAGCCCGCACGCTGCAACTACTGTGCCCACGCACCACAACTACTGGAGCCCGTGCACTCTAGGGCCTGCGTGCCACAACTTTCGAGCCCGCGTGCTGCAGCTACTGAAGCCCGCCCACCTAGAGTCCGTGCTCCGCAAGAAGAGAAGCCACCGCAATGAGAAGCCTGTGCACCGCAACGAAGAGTAGCCACCGCTCGCCACAACTAGAGAAAGCCTGTGCACAGCAACGAAGACCCAACACAGCCAAAAAAAAAAAGGAAAATCACTGCTACTAGCCTGGCAGGGAAGCTGGTGGAATAGTGGGATACGCTCACTAAGAGTTATTAATCCATTCCTGAATCCTGCTGTCTGTGCAGCTAGAATGAGTCATAGGCCTGAATCCCACCATTTCCATGCCCCCCATCCCAGTGTGGACAGAAGCACAGCCCCACCTACAAGACTAGACATCTATCTCCCCTCAGCCCTTCTAACTGGAAGGATATCACAAAAGCTTCCCACCCAGCGTCTCCTCTGCAGGCCTGCCGACAACGCCTGAACTCCATTGCTTTGTCCCTTCCTCTGAACCAAATCCCACTGAGCACATAACACATTAACTCTCTAACATCTTAGAGCAGGGCATCAGCAAACTTTTTCTTAAAGGGCCAGAAGGTAAATATTTTAGACTTTGGGAGTCTTACGGTCTCTGACTGAAAGCAGCCATAGACAATATGTAAACAAATGGTTGTGGCTAGGTTCCAATAAAACTTTATTTATGTTACAATAAAATTTGACTTTCATGTAATTTTTGTTTTACAAAATAATATTCTTCTTTTGATTTTTTCCAACCATTTAAAAATGTAAAAGCCGTTGGTAGTTCACAGGCCGCACAGTGACAGGTGGGGGCTGGGATGAGCTCACATTCTGCGGCCCTCTGTTAGCGTGAAATCGTTTTTCAGAGACTCATTTTCTTAGCTGGCTGGAGGAAGGGCGCTAAAAGAGTCGAATGGGGTGCAGAAAGAGGAAGTGGGTGCCTTGGGGAAACCATTGCTTACTTCACCATTTTGCCTTAGACAGTCCTAAATATGGGTTTGAAGGGAGGCTCAGGGTGTTGACATTTCTGCTAACAACCCCGCGTCTCCCACCCCCAACCCGGAGGAGGCCTGAAACGTAGGACTGAAATCCCACGGCACAGACAATAAATCTCTATGGACGCATCTATACACCAATGCTTGTCTTTCAATGACACACTTCTACTGAGACCTCATCTTTCTCAAATCCACATCTCCACTCCAGCCCACAGACCTGTCCGTGACCATGTGGCCCCCAAAGAGACTTGCTCAGCACACAGGGAGAAGCCTCAGAGTCTGGAATGGAAAGCTGAGTTCCCCAGGGCGTTGAACCAGGCTTAGTGGACCTATTAGGTGCCATTCCCTAAGCAAGTCCTTCCTCTCCAGTCCTTCAGCATCCTTTGGGTTGGGTATTACCATCCCTACTTCACAGATGAGGAATCCAGGCACAGATACGTTAACTCACTTGCGTACAGTCAGAGAGCTTTAAGTGGCTATAAAGAAACCGGAATTGACAACAAGTTTCATGGTGCATGCAGAGCGCAGATTTGGAGGATTAGCACCAACATTCCAGAGATGTAGGTCTTCCTGGTGAGATAAACAGAGTTGGTGAACCTCCAGCAGGGCCAGCACTACACAGAGCCCGTGACTCACGGAAGCAGCCAAAGGATCAACGTTACTATCCTCAGAGCCTCAAATCAATCCCTCAGGACACCTGCCCCTTAGGCTCTGCAGCCTAGAATCAGGCTTCAAACTGGGAAACAGAAAAAGTTGGGGGGAGGCATGAAGGTACATTTTAGCTGTCGGTGTGAGCCATGTGTTGGTCCAGCCTTCACCTATAATACAATCTCTACTTTTATCTCTACTGACTCCCCTGTGTAGTTCTCAACTGGTTTAGAGTCTGTATGGGGAAGAGATACCATTAATCGGCATCTTTCAAACCTCAAAGAACTGAAAATACACATGAAGATCAGCATACAATTAAACACATAGCAGATGCTCAAAACATTCCAGTTTATGGCTCTAGAGATCATGAAATCTCTTCCTTTACCCCACTTGATTTGGTTTGAATACTAACACAGGGACTGCCACAAAGAAAGCAAGCAATAAGTTGATAATAACGAACACTTTCCTTCTATTTGAACTCTTATTGCTCCTACCACCAGGAGGGAGGTACCCTTATTTAACAAACAAGGAAGTTGTGCTCACAGAGGTTGGGTAACAGGTCCAAGTTTGCACAGTTAGCAGTGGTGGCACTGAGCTAGGTCTCCCTCAGTCATAGGCCAACTCCCCCTGCAGGGAAGCCATGGAGAAACACTCCCAGTAACCCATGGAGATGAATAAGTCAGACTCAGTTTTATCACTTTTATTCATGAAAAAGAGCTCCCAGCTAAGGGCCATATTTTGAAAAAAAGGGTCAAAGCTGTAAGTCCTCAGTATTGTGGCACCAGCAGCAGGTCAGCTTATCTTGAAATCTTCCAGAAAAACCTGCCCTCTGATTCACCCGTTTTCCCCCCACCCCTTCTTTTTGTCTCCTTAAGGCAAGGACTGAAAGCCCCATAGGGAAGAAAACAGTTTCATCCACCAGCAAAACCAGTGCCTGCAGCTCAGGCAACATTCCTGCTGGGTCCATGAAGAACACTTGGAGGTGACCAGAGATGCCACCAGGAAGGCCAGACTGATGCACCTGCCCCACCTGACACGACACACATCCTCCATCCTGCACCATTTTGCTGTGCATCATGCTTAGGAAGTGGCAGGAGAGTGACAGGAATGACGGAAGCACAAGAGGAGAGCTGGTGTGTTGGCTGGAAGTGAAATCTACTAGAATTATAACCATCCAAACACTGACCCTGCAAGGTGAGGAGAGATGGGGAAGGGACACTGGGTTGGGGGTGAGGGCAGGATTAGTTGGATTTAGACCTGCTTGAGGGGCCAGATGCACCTCACCAAGTTCCCTCTTTTTCTACCTTGCCCCGGATGAAGATAGCTCAGCCAGAACAGCCCAGATCTCTACTGGCCAAATGCCTTCTGAAGGGGAGGCTGAAGAGTAGGGGGAGGAATTTTTCACCTAACCACGCAGGCCAGCCAAGCTCTCACAGGCCTGCAGGTCCATCGAGGAAGCAAGAAAGCAAGTGACCAAGCAACAAGTGTGTCGGAAGAATCTGTTGTGTGTCCAGAACAGCCAAAACAATCTGGAAAAATACAACAAAACTAGAGGACTCATACTTCCCAATTTCAAAACTGGCATAAGGATAGACATAATATAAATCAATGGAATAGAACTGAGTGTCCAGAAATAAACTCTCACAATTACAGTCAATTGATTTTCGACAAGCGTGTTAAAACAACTGGCTGGGGGCTTCCCTGGTGGCGCGGTGGTTGGGAGTCCACCTGCCGATGCAGGGGACGCGGGATCCCACATGCTGCGGAGCGGCTGGGCCCGTGGGCCATGACCGCTGAGCCTGTGCTCTGCAGCAGGAGAGGCCACAGCGGCGAGAGGCCTGCGTACCGCAAAAAAAAAAAAAAAAAAAAAAAAAGGACAAGAAAAAAAGTTAGACTTCATCAAAATTGAAAACTTTTGTACTTCAAAGGACATCATTAAGAATGCAAAAAAACTCACGGAATTGGAGAACATACAAGGGATTTGTATCTAAAATACATAAAAAACTCTTAAAACCCAATAATAAAAAGACAAATAACCCAGTTAAAACCTGTGCAAAGGGTCTGAATAGACATTTCTCCAGAAAAGATATACAAATGACCAATAAGCACATGAAAAGATACTTAGCATCATTAACCATCAGGGAAATACAAATCAAAACCACAATGAGAAACTACTTCATACCTACTAGCATAACTTTAACCAACAAGATAGATACTAAGTTTTTTTTTTATTATTGGAGTACAATTGCTTTACAATGTTGTGTTAGTTTCTGCTGTACAGTGAAGTGGATCAGCTATATATATACATATATCCCCTCCCCCTTGGACCTCCCTCCCTCCCCCATCCCACCCATCTAGGTCATCACAGAGCACCGAGCTGAGCTCCCTGTGCTATCCAGCAGCTTCCCACGAGCTATATCTACTTTACACATGGTAGTGTATTTATGTCAAACGTAATCTCCCAGTTCATCCCACTCTCCCCTTCCCTTCCGTGTCCACATGTCCGTTGTCTATGTCTGTGTTTCTATTCCTGCCCTGCAAATAGGTTCACCTGTGCCATTTTTCTAGATTCCACATATATGCGTTAATATATGATACTTGTTTTTCTCTTTCTGACTTACTTCGCTCTGTATGACAGACTCTAGATCCATCCACATCTCTACAAATGACCCAATTTCATTTCTTTTTATGGCTAATGTTCCACTA